CGTACTATATAGATGTCACATCTGTAACCGGAAAAAATCATGTTTTTTTTTAAACTGTCTTTTTTAATGTTTTTCTATGTGCGGGAAATCTTCGAAACCTGTTTACCGATTGCATTGAAATTTTGGCACTACGTTGAATTCGAATAGGCGCGTCTTTGTACATACCTACTATATATATGCCTCACATGTGAAAGGAAAAAAACATGCTTCTTTTAAAAAAAACAGCGCCATCTGTTGGACGTAAGAGCAACACATGCTGTAATCTCCGAAAGTTCTTCACCGATTGCTCTGAAATTTTGTCACAACGTTTCATTCAAATACACGCATGTTTTTATTTTTCTACTATATGGATGCCACACCTGTGACATAGTGCTTGAAAACATGCATGAAACATGTTTTTTTTTTTAAATAAAAACAGCACCATCTGTTGCACATAAGAGCAAGACACCTATACTAAATATGTTATGATTTCATTGCAATGTTTCCGATTTCATTGATAAATTGAATTTTCATAGATTTCGATTTATTCTCATTTGCATTTAATTATTTTGTGTGACATTGCATTTGAACTGAGCTGTGTTGTTTTCTATACCGTTCATTTCGTGAGAATAGTTTATTTTTTTATTGTTTCACTGTTTTTCATTTCGTTTTTAACTGTTTTTCTTATATATCAGTGATGGAAACATCAGATCATTTGATGTTCCCAATGTCCATCATATCATTTGAGAATACATCAGACGAGGGAGTGGGGAAAGGAGGGGAGGATGAGAGGATGAGGAGACAGGGGAGGGGGGGGTAGGGGGGGGGACGGGAAGTAATGGTAGGGACGAGGAGACAGGGGAATGGAGAGGTGATGACAAGGGAACAGGGAATTGGGGGATGGTGAGGTGGACAAGGGGACAGGGAAAGGAGGGGGGAATGGTAGGAATGACGAGGGGAGTGGGAGATGGTGGGGAGGCGAGGAGAGGGTGGAGTGGGAATGATTAGGTGGACGAGGGGACGGTGAAGTGGGTATGGGGAGGAAGACAAGGGACCGGGAGAGGGGGTAGGGAAATGGTGGGAAGAATGAGGGGACGGGGAAGTTTCGAATGGTAGGGACGAGGAGACAGGGGAATGGAGAATGGTAGTGATGACAAGGGAACAGGGAATTGGGGGATGGTGAGGTGGACAAGGGGACAGGGAAAGGGAGGGGGGAATGGTAGGAATGACGAGGGGGGAGTGGGAGATGGTGGGGAGGACGAGGAGAGGGTGGAGTGGGGAATGATTAGGTGGACGAAGGGGACGGTGAAGTGGGGTATGGGGAGGAAGACAAAGGGACCGGGAGAGGGGGTAGGGAAATGGTCGGGAGGATGAGGGGACGGGGAAGTGGGGAATGGTTGGGAGGATGAAGGGGCTGGTGAGTGAAGAATAGTTGGGAGTACGAGGGGACGGAGGGAGGTGTGAATGGTGGGGAGGACTGTGGCTCAGCAATGCATATGCATAGCTGAGCCATAGCAACGCGTGGCCAGGTACTGCTAATCTATATAAATAAAAATGGAAATGTTTGTTTGTTCAAAATCGCTAATCTCCGAAAGTTCTTCACCAATTGATTTGAAATTTTCACAGAACGTTCCATTTGCATCTGAGCGAGTTTTTAAATACATACTATATAGATGTCATGTGTGTGACGGAATTTATTTTTTTTCTAAACTTTGTTCTTCATGAGAGAGAAATCATCGAAACCTGTTTATCGATTGCTATGAAATTTTGACACAACGTTGCATTCGAATAAGCACGTGTTTATATATACTTTCTGTATACACGCCTCGCCTGGGACAAGAAAAAAACATTTTTTTTTTAAACAGCGCCATCTGCTGGACGTAAGAGCAACGCACGCTGTAATCTCCGAAATTTCTTCACCAATTGCTTTGAAATTTTGACACAACGTTCCATTTGAATATGCGTGTGTTTTTACATACCTTCTATATAGATGCCACACTAGTAACAGGTAGAAACATGTTTTGTTTTTTAAATGGTGCCATCTGATGTATGTAATAGCAATTCACACTAGACTAAATATGTTACGATTCCATTTCAATGCTTCCAACTTGCATTCATATATGGATTTTTCATAGATTAGGATTTATTTTTATTTATATTTAATTATTTTGTGTGACATTGCATTGAAATTGAGCTGTGTTGTTTTCCATACATTTCGTAAGTATTAGTATAGGTGCCTCACATGAAACAGGTAAAAACATTCTTTTATAAGATACAGCACCATCTGTTACACGTAATAGCATCACACGCTATACTAAATATGTTGCGATTCCATTTCAACGTTCCCGAATTCATTGACAAATTGAATTTTCATAGATTTTCATTTTGATTTAATTATTTTGTGTGACATTGTCTTGGAATTGAACTGTGTTGTCTACCATACCATTCACTTTGTGAGTATAGTTTATTTTTATATTTTTTTCATTTTTTTCATTTCGTTTTTTAACTGTTTTTCTTATATTTCAGTGATGAGAACATCAGATTATTTGATGTTTCCAATTTTCTGATGGGCACATCAAATCATTTGGGAATGCATCGGACAAGGGAGTGGGGAATGGTTTGGAGGACGAGAGAGGGGAGTGGGGGATGGTGGGGAGGACGAGGGGAAAGGGAAGGGGGTAATGGTTGGGAGGAATATGGGATTGTGGGGGACGAGAGGACAGGGGAATGGAGAATGGTGGGAAGGACAAGGGGACAGGGGAGTGGGGGATGGAAGGGAGAACTAGAGGATGGGGGAGATGGTAGGGAGGACATGGGGATGGGGGACTGGTAGATGGTGGGGAGGACGAGGGATAGTGGATTGGGGAATTATTAGGAGAACGAGGGAACGCTGGAGTAGGGAATGCTGGGAAGGAAAATGGGACGGGGGGGGGGGGGAGGGAGAATGGTGGGGAGGATGAGGGGACGGGGGAGTGGGGAATAGTTGGGAGGACGAGTGGATGGAGAATGAGGAATGGTTGGAAGGATGAGGGAACGGGGGAGTGGGGATTGGAGGGGAGGACTGGGAGACAGGGGAAATTTGCTGTGGCTCAGCAATGTACATGCGTTGCTGAGCCACTGCAACGCTTGGCCGGGTACAGCTAGTATTGAATATATTTTGATATTCAAAAATATTCTGAATATCATATATATATATATATATATTCTGAATATTATATATATATATATATATATATATATATATATATATATATATATATATATATATATATATATATATATATATATAATATATATATCATGAATATCATAAATATCTGTATATCAGAAATATTCTGTATATCAGAAATATTCTGTATATCAGAAATATTCTGTATATCAGAAATATTCTGAATATCAGAAATAGTCTGTTAATTTTCCCCGGCATCATTGCCGGGGAAAAATGTTGCATATTGTTATAAGAACAAATAATTTAGTTTATTTATTTTTCAAAATATTTCCAGGGTACCCGTCAGTCAGTGCAGTGCCATGCTGTGCGTGCGGGTTTAAATGTGACCCTGGAACGCTGTTTCCTTTTGAATTCTTCCAACCTCGACCAGCCTATGTTCATCCCATACCCATGGCTATTCCCTCTGCTAATTTGGATGAGGTTAGCCCCAAGCGTTTGGCCTCCAATTTGAAAAGACAACAAACAGACGGACATTCTCTTGTATAGTATAGATTGTCGTCAAGTGGTTTAAGGCTTGTGCCTCGGAGTACCCTGAGTACAGATTCGAATGATCCTCATGGCTACAACTGATTTTCTCAGTAATAATAATAATAAATAATAAATAATAATAATAATAATAATAATAATAATAATAATAATAATAATAACAACATTAATGACATGTAATTGTAATGTCTTCTCACAGACATAATAACATAGGATAAAAACCCACACTTGTATATTTGTGAAATTTATGTAAAGAATTTACTCCAAGTCTTTCGCACTCTCATGAGTGCTTTGTCAAGATCTGAGTGTGTGATTAGGGCAAGGCATATATCTCAACGTCTAATCAACGTTGAGATCCCAGACTCGTCCTAACCACACACTCAGACCTTGACAAAGCACTGGGAGAGTGCGAAAGACTTGGTGTAATTCTTTAGACATTTCACAAAGACATGTGGGGATTTTATCCATATAATAATAATAACTATCATAAAGCCAAACAAGAAATATTAACATATATTTCGTATAATAATGATGACAAACTGTCTTATCCTTCATATGCGAAAGATTTGGCAGCAAAACTCACCACTAAATTTGCTTATGTGCGGAGGATCGCAAGTAACCTAGACGCTAAAGGATACTGAATATTTTAAATTCTCAAACTTAATTAATGTACTAGCTCGATGTAATGCATTTAAACTCTCCAACACTGCTAGGTGAACATCTGCATTAGGTGAAAGGAAACGTGATCAACCATTTCTATCTCGTCCCGAGATCCCCGATTGTTAGTTGAGAACATGGACCAAAACGTAGGCATGGCTGCTCTGAGTTTTACTCATAATAGTTTCTCTTCAACTCTCTTCTTCAACGAAATCACCAAACTTTTCTCATCTAAATCATTGCGGAACAATGGTGTTTGTTGTTTTCTGACAACTTAGATTTTGGTAATCATGGGAATAGTTTAGAAGAATTTGTAATTTACATCAAAGGTGTGAAGACGTTTGAAAAGACATTGCATTGCGACTTGCATTGCACTACAAAGTTAAGCTTTCTTTTAGACACACATCCGCTTTAAAACCAGTGGTGTTTTGCTTGATATTTTGTATATAAAAAAGTGCGGCGTTCTTCTGTTATTGTTATCGATACGGACGCAGTATCTATAAAAGGACACTTTAATGTCTTTGAAAGGACACTTTCAAACAAACATCAGATATACTAACACACGGACAGAATGATGTATACAAAGTCTAAGCCAAAACAACCAGCAAAGATTATATTATAGTAATAAATAAAATGCACATATTTTTACCGAGAGTGGCACTAACAGCAGCCGCTTGGTCATGTTGAAGACGCTGTGCAGCTGACGGAGAACAGCTGAGCGATATAGTGATTCAGCTGTGGCTTCTGCTGCACCTGTGTTGTCAAGAATGGTGCAGATGTGTTCTGTGGTGGTGCCGGTGTGTTCAAGTGCCTGGAGTAACTGTGGTAGGAGCAGGTTTGACGTCGTGCCTGAGTCTTCTACTGCTGCCTTGCAGCCAACACTTATATCCAAAATCTTATCACAGAGACGCTGTTGCAACACGGCCGAAGTGTCAGGTAGCGCAATGGTAACCACACTCGCCGGCGCTTCACAAGGGATTTTGCCTTGGTCCTTAACTGTATGCCTCTGCTCACCGAACAGTGATTGGTATTGTTATAAAACAATATATTCATCAAAGATGACCAGTATCATGGTCGTTCTCTTGTCTTCCAGCACTTAGATTCACTGAAAGACTCTTTCATGATCCACTTATTCACCTTGACTGAAATTCTTAATACACTCTCCTCATTTCTACAATTTATCACCTTGCTCACTCATTCGCCCATAAAACAGTACATATTGCGAACGATGGGGTATGTGTACAAATATGCGTTGTGAATAAATATTACGGTTCCCATTTTGTTTTATTGAAAATACTTCTCATAAAAACTGAGGAGGAAGAAATAAAGCTGATTTACCTCCTCTTACATTCTTGCCTTCTGGCCACATCAGTATTAAACAATAAACAACCCCTCGTGGGATTTTTATCACATTTATTGATTAACTGGCGGGAACATTTTCTGGCCCTCGTGGTGATATTGAGGTTATTGGTGGAGATAATGTCTGGGAGACCTTGGAAATGATGCACATGTTGTGTTCTCTCTTAAATCTAATATTACTAAATTTTTTGCTACGTTTATGTCTTCTAACACTTGGATATACGAGTTGCTATTACTACAATTATAATAACCGTTAATTGAACTGCCACTTGGAAATAATAATCAATATTTTGTTCAATTAATTTTTAAAAAATTTATTTAAAAAAAATGTAATTGATACAACGGGGAATACCAGTATTTCGACTACCATTATTGTTATTACTACCGCTAGATTTTATAATATCAGACCTACTGCAACTACAGCTTTTAATGGTGTATTTTGTGATCTTACTTCTTAGCACTCTTTCAAAGATTTTTATGATGTGCGATGTTAGTGCTATCGGCTGTAATTTTTTCCCTCTGCCTTATTTCCTCCTTCATGGAGCGGTGCTATCTCTGCTGTTTTAATGTGTCTGGGATAATGCCAGTATCTAGGCTTTGTCTCCAAAGAATGTGAAGGGCCTGCGATAGCAGTTTTTTACAGCTCTTTATGAATATAGAGTTCCAAGAGTCAGGGCCTGGTGCAGAGTGCATAGGCATACTGTCTATTGCTTCTTGAAAATCCAGTGGGAATAAAGTGCCATCTGATATATGATTTGATGTTGGTATCATATCCATTAAAATTAATTTGGGTTATCAATCTTCATGTGTGTTCAGTGGCTCGCTGAAAACAGAGTCGCACTGATTCCTCAGCATTTCGCTCATTTCTTTGTTGTCATCAGTGAAAGTTCCATCTCCCTTTCACAGGGGCCCGATACTAGATGTGAATTTTGATCTTGATTTTGCATAGGAGAAGAAATATTTCTAATTTCTCTCTATTTCACTGATGGCCTTTTGCTCTCTTTGCCTCTCCTGGGTTTTGTATGATTCTTGTAGCTTTAGTTCAATTGTTTATATTTCTCTACCTAACCTTCGCCGTTCTTGAGATAGGGTGCGACTCTCAAGTTGTTCCACGATTCGTTTCTTTGCCTATAGAAGGGAACGACGTTCCCGTTCCAATCTGCATCTCTTCCTCTTTTTTTTCTTTGGGGTATGCGGTTTGAACATATTTCTATTGCTACTGAGCTTATTTTTTCCAGGCACTGGTTCAGGTTTGCATTTTCTAGCTGTTCTCCCAGATTATTTCTGTGAAGTCTTGGTTTATTTGCTCCCAGTTTATCTGTTTACTATTGAAGTTGAATTTGCTGAAATC